TGTTACAGGATAAACTCTAAATAAGAGGGAAAAAGACAAAAACTCCAAATCTATACGAACTCAGTTTTTTCAGAACCGTGATACTTTCGGACAAGAAATGCTATATACTATAGACAAGGTATGCAAGATTTTTATACAAATATAGAAATCTTATCGGACAGCGTCACCCGATCTAACTAGATCGAGTTTTTATCTATATATTTATAATAAAAACAGATAAGTACTGTCCACCCTAAGTTTTTATAAGGGGAAAGCCCAACTAAACTGACTAAGATTAGGTCAGGGTTCATTCAATCCATATCCAATCTTGTATTTATTTTTTCGATGCATATATGATTTTTTATGTCTGGATTTTTACTTTGGACTTTTTTTTTAAAAAAAAAAATTGTTATATTTTTTTTGGGGGGTTTTATCTTATGATATTGTGATTTATAAATGATTTTTTTAATTTTTCATACTTTAATATCTTGCTATGTGATTTTCAATAATGATTAAAAAAATATAAAATCATATATTTAATGAGTGGACACAATTGTTTAAGTTGCTTGATGAGTTTATAAATAAGCTAGACTTTATCTTGCATACATACATACATACACGCATATATATATATATATATAGGTTCTTCCTCGAATAAATTTTAAGGTGATAATTCATTATTTTTGAACTCCACTAAACACTAAGTTTAAATTTACCGGACTCAATATTTTCACACTTAGTTAAATATTTGAGTCTATATTTATATTTTACTCTAATAAGTTATAAATGTTTTACCCAACTATCAAGATAATATTATATTTTTAGCCTCTCCACTTTATAAAAAAACTTGCAAAGTAGGATCGATTCTCAACTGCATATTTTATTTCCCAAAGGAAACCTTTTTACATGCATTATACACCTAAAGGGAGATTAAATTAGATTTTCAAAACCCAGAAATTAATCAATTATTCAATAAACAAATCTTACTCCCAAGCAACTTGGATGTTTTGGAACCACACCAATAATTAAATTTTTTTATTAAAAAAAAATATATCTTTTTATTATATATTAAATTAATTTAGATTAACCAATCAAATTCTAGTTGTTTATCCTTTAAATCTTTGCAAGCTTATCTGCAAGTTTGCTCATACATCGAATTTACGAGCTTATTTGATTAGATGATGGAATTATTGACTTCCAGGCTGGGAAAAAGTCTCAGTTTAGGCTCTAAAGAAGGTGGCATATTCATCACACCGTGGCCCATTTACTGCATGTTTCCCTGTATTCTTACGGGGGTCGAGGCTTTCCTTTTCTTTTTCTAAGCCGAGGTCTTAGGCTCTCATTTCGGCCTCCATCCAGTGCATTCATGGAATTTCAATTTAGGGTAAGTTTGCTCCGCATGAAATATTTTATAAATAAAAATTATTTTACATATAAAATATTTTTTTTATAAAATGCTATCCCATAAAATATTTTATATATAAAATGTTTTTCAATAATAGTGGTAAAATGATGATAATAACAATAAAAAAAAGTAATAATAAAATGATAATGACAAAAATAATAATAACAAAAGGTATCTTAGAATGCATGAGGTTGTCGCCCAGAAATAAAAGGGGTTTGTTCCCTTCCTTTACACTAGAGTTCAAGTGTTTTTGTGTATGATTGTCACTTTCCTGATAATTTACATGTTTACTAGGCTTACAAGATGTTTAACGAGTCTAAAAATTAGTTGTGATATATCCAAATTACAAAAAAAAAAAAAAGAATACCTTAAGTTATTCATGCATAGTTTTGCAGAAGAGATCCCATTTTTAACAAATCTAACATGGACTGGGCAGTCTACAACATGTTTAGGCATGTATTCCATCTATATTAACCCTACTTTTAACCTGATTAATTCAATAATATTGGTTTATTGGGGTGGAACTCTCTCATACAAGGGAGATTAACCTGTAAATAAAAACGTCAATATAAATTATAATATTAACCTTGAGATGACTTCTTCCAAGCTAAAAGCGCAGGATTATTGATGAACAAGTCGAGATGATGTTTTCCTTCCATCACTATAAGAATTTTAAGGCATTTGTAGTTAGGTCGACGCAGGATATATACAGGGGAGGTTTATCGGTGGAAAGCCGAGGGCGATCCCTCTTGATCTTGTTGAAAAAAATCAAGGGAGAAAAATATAAATGGAAATATATCTCGTTAATCTCATATTATTTTTCTAATAGAAAAGGGTTTTATAGACTTGTAATTAGGTTACAATAGCATGTATGGCAATAATAATGAATAGTATGAAAAATAAAAATAAAAAATGCATAGATTTAACATGGTTAGGTTAGGTTGTATGCCTGCATTCATAAAAAACGAGAAGTTGAATTTTCTCTAGGTATCATCATATAAATTTATAATAAATCCTAAATTCCAGTAAGAATCCTTTACCATACTGCACGGTGTGGTGCGTAGCAATAAATTGCATGTCGATCAACCAGTTTTTTTATTTGAGAATATAATTATGTGTGTTTTTTAAAATATTTTTTATTTGAAAATATATTAAAATAAAATATTTTATTTTTAAAAAATTATTTTTAACATTAGCACATCAAAATAATTTAAAAATATCAAAAAATATTAATTTGAAATAAAAAATAAAAAAATTTAAATTTTTTAAAATATAAAAATAAACACGACTCACAATTTTCATCTTGCCAAATATTCATCATTTAAGGAAATAAAAGGAAAAAGAAAAACCATAATATGAAACTCCACTTTTAGAACAGTAAGTAGGTGTTTATTATTTAGTACTTGGAGACATTAATCGAGTTGAAGTAATACTTGAACTTAATTGTAGTTACAGACTGTCAACTTATCAGCTGCATTCTTAAAAGGATAGACTTTCTCAATCAATAGTTCATAAAAAAAAAAAAAATCAATTCTCTGATTATGTAAAACCTCATATCTATATGCTTGGTCTTGCATGATACATCTTGTTCTTCGTCAAGTAAATGGCACTCCTACGAATCTAAGGAAATTTGAGGAAAAGAAGATAGAAGTTGCGGAGGCCAGTTTGGGGAATCGGACAAGATAATGGTTTCTAATGCTGGAAGAACTGAATGGACTGGCGAGGAAGCATCCAAACAAGTTGGAGAAACTAGCAAGGCTTTAGATGATCTTAGAAGAGTGAATAAGCTTCTTGCAGATGTGAGATCTGAACGGATTTCTTCACAAAAACCTCTAACATTCTCTAGAAAGCAAATGGAAGAACAAGAGCAGCTATTAAAAAGGCAACTACCAGAACCTGAAGAACGGAGGAAAAATATCGTGTCTTACATGACTAGTTTGACAGGTGCCAAAATAGAAGTGGAGAGGGAGAGTCAAGCTTAGGCTACAGAGGCTCGAAATAAGGAGCTTGAACGAGAATTATCCAAGGATAAGGAGCTCAAAGAAGAGTTACAAAAGGAGTTAGGAGTTAGAGAAGGAGAGATTGTCTCTGGAGCAAGCTATCGAGAGGGAGTTTTTTCTACAGCAGGAACCGCATCAGAAAAATACTGAATTTGGAGAAATGCAGCATCTTCTTCATGTTAAAGAATCAGAATAAGTGGAAGCTAAACTAGATATCCAGAAGTTAAAATCTGAGCATGCTTCTCTTCAGCTTGTCCTGGAGAACAAAGACTTGCAACTCATTAACGCGATGAAGAATTGGGGGGTGAAGTAAACCAAGAGGTCGCCGAGCTGAAGACGCTAATGAGCAGTAACGAAGAACTTGTCCCCGCCGCCGCCACCACGCTAAGGGATAAAGAGGAGCATGTTCAGATTATGCAGGATGAATTGAACAATACAAGGGTTAAATTCTGAAGCAGAATCTATAGTGGAGAGGATCGTACAGCTTACAAACAAATTGGTTATCTCCATTAAAGATGAGAATGAACTAAGGCAATCTGACAACATGACCTTTGAATTAATTCAACAACCATTGGGTGAACCATGTGATGATTTTAGGTTGCAGTTTAAGTAGCTTGAAACTGAGCTCAAGTTAAACAGAGAGCTTAAGAGTGAAAGAAATGGAAGTTCTAGCTGCACAGAGAGCTCTCACAATTAAACACGAGGAACTTAAAATAGTTCTTGAGAGATTGGATACAAAAGAAAAGGAACTGAAAAACTTGAAGGAAGCAGCAGTTGAAGATGCTAACGATCCGAGGAAGCTTTATTCTTTAGCACGAGAGAGAATTGGTGAGAGAAGTACTGGAAACTTGGCTATAAAGAAACTCAAACTAGAGGCCGTTCAACTTGAAGTTGAAGCTGCCACCGGTGATGCTCAAAAACTTTCAGAAACGAGTCGAGAACTTTCAAAAAAAGCACGCTTGAGCATTGAGGTTAATGTTGATAGTAGTACTTCCATGAAAAACGGCTCTGATCCTGACCTTGTTCTGTTAGAGAACAACTATGTTTCAAGGAGGTTAAAACAGAGTCATCGTTGACCAGTAGCTGTTGAAAGATGCTGGTATTACTGCTGGTGCAGACTGATAGATTGTAAAGCTAGTGAAAAGATTGATAAATAGGCATCTAACTAGATTCTGTGTAGAGGGAACTGAGAGCGTCTTTCTGTTACAAAGTTTTTGACACGATAAATAGGAGATTCCCTCTATAATTCGCTGCATATTGAATTTGGGCAACATGTCCTAGCTTGGTAACCAGCCTCTATTGGACAACATAGTAATTGCAAGCATGTATGGTTTTGGTTCATGCCATCAACATGATCCTAATTTGGGTTTTCTATGTTTCGAGTTCTTTTTCAAATTCTATATTTGGGATTAAATGGCTGGCATGATCACCGACTTCTTCCATGAACGGGTGTCCTAATTGTGCTTCCATTAGCTTGCAAGCCATGCTGAGAAAACACAGGAATACTGAGCAAAGACAGGTGCTTTTGATCCTCTTCGTAAAGTGAGTTTTCTTAAGTTCAAACAGATATTAAAGTCTAAAAGTAAAAGCTGCACAAGCATACATGCACCTTTGCATTACATTCATCAAGAACCGGCTTTACTCCATTGAAAGTAAATAACCACCAGCAGTAGTCCCAGTTCCTATTACCAACTTGGATGAGAACGTTAAAAAGGTTCTATACAGGCTATAGATTAGTTAAGATGAATATGTACAAGTTTTTGTGAACTTAAAAAAGCTCCACTACCGGGCAGCAGCAGGGCTAACACCAAGGATATTCTTCACGGATGGTGGAAACCATGCTTGGTTGCTACCATCGCTGCTAGTCTGACCATCCATATATTGGCCATTACTTTGCACTGCATTACCCAGCGGCCTGTTCACTCTTGATCTCTGTATTTTCTTCCCAGTGAAAAATCCAACCTTCATGGCTGTAAATATACCCAAAGCTATCACAAGAGGTCTTACAGCCCAGTGAAAATCCTCAAGGTGTTGATATTTTTTGACGACCCCAGGACAAGTATTAAAAGAAACTAATTCCACTTCAGCTGGATCGGCCAAGAAATTGCTATTTTCTTGTCCAATTGTAAATCTTCCAGGGAACTTGACGATGAGGCAACCATTAGGTAGGATCCACCAAATCTTCCCAGTAGCCCAGGCCCCACCTGTTTTACGAGGCCATTCAAATCGAGGGCTAAGAACATTAGTTTTCAGTCTCACAAACTGACCAACAAAGTATGATTCAGCCATTTGAAGCTCTGAATATTTTCCTTTCCATAGAGTTTCCACACCTATAAATCCAACAGCCACACTTCCATCATGATTTATGGAATGAAGAATGCCAACTGGCGAGTGCTTATTGTTTTCCTCCAGGTGTACCCAATCCCCAGCTGCAAGGCCAAAACAGACTTTTTCCAAGGTTGAGACAGGAAGTCTTAATGGGTCATGGATGCCATGAACACTCACCAAAACAAAACCATCTCGATCAGGGTTGCGTTCTAGACCCACTACAGTTCCTTCTGGGACATCCATATTTTCAGGTTTGCAAGAATTAGGTGGCCTCCTGGAACGCACCATGTCTCCCACTTGCAGATGATCCTTTGACAGAAACCACTCTGTGTAACCAGCACCACTGGATTTCTCCAGGATTGTTCTGCTGCCAAACCCTGTCCAGCCTCCATCTACAAAAACTGCATTCTGCGAGCTGCAATTTGTGTTGCAAGGAGACACACATAAGCACAAGGTATGAACAAGAGAGCTTCCATTCCAGTAACCAAAATAAGAAGCAGATAACCATCCTTATAACTGAAGGTGAAAATAGCAATTCAAAGGGGAAAAAAAACTCAAACAGGATGTAAGACCAGACACAGTGGTGCAATATCCACTAGAGCAATATGCGAATATCTATGAAGGTTGAGCAAGAAAAGTAATAGTTATGTGCAAACAATAGCATGTATGAAGTGAATTTATGGAAAAGGGGTGTCTAAGCAAAACAAAAGCAAAGGTCAACTGACTCGGGAAAAAATCTGCTCCCTCAAGCATAAATTGGTCTCTGAAATTTGATTCACTTTGATGAGTGTGCAAACATATAAAATAAACAGCATTAGGGAGGGGGTGGGGGCGTGGCATCAGAGATTGTCCAATCCAAAGGTGTGAGAACAAGAAACAACAGAATCCCACAGAACCTGTCTCCTCTTCATATCAGAGCGGTGGAAATTTATGAAAAAACAGATTCTGTCAACACAGAAGTTAGCTATCCTAAACACGGTGCCATCTAAATTGTGGCAAGGGAAGCATAATTTTCCATACAAATATAAAATTGAAAATATTTGAGGATGAAAGGTAATAAAAAAAGAAAAAGAAAAAAGAACTAAGACACATAAAATCATAGTTTGATGTCCAACAGGCTGCTAATCCAAACAGGGCATTTGTAAATCTAAACATTAACGACAAACATATCACACAGCCCCACAACTCAATTTATCACATTCAACAGCATTTTCAAAGCAAGTGATATCTAGAAGCAAGTAATGAAAGACAGCGTTTTCATTTTACAAAAGATTGCAAAATATGCATGCCAACCCCCAACAGGATTTATGTGCCAAAGAATAACATACAACATAAGACCAACCTTTTGAATACACGTAATATGTCTGTCATCAAGGGGCGGCTCCTCAAGTCATATTCAAAGCAGCCACGAAGAATATTTTCAACTGGAGGAGGGAGGCCCTCGGGAATATGTGGTTTATCTTGTTTCCTAACCACTGAGTCATAAATTTCTTCAATTGACTTCCCACACCAAGGCAGAACACCAGTCAACATCTCCACAATGCTGCACCCAAATCCCCACGAATCAGTCTCAAAGGATATTGGACCTCTTATTTCTGGCTGCCACTGTTCTGGAGCCATGTAGTTTGGGGTTCCAAGCCTCCAAGGCATATATGAGCTTGTCGATGGAATTCCAAGGAGCAGGTAAGGAATACCAATATCTCCCAGAACTGCTTGATCATTTTCATTAAGAAGGAAGCTACAAGGTTTAAGGTTAAGAACTAGGATTTCTTTTGCATGCAACTCTGCAATTCCCTGTGCCAACTCTATCCCATACCTGGAAATAAGTAAGCACTGAGGCTAGCCTGCCTTCGCCAATTCAATCACTTGGATTTTAATGAAAAATTAATAAATTCACCTCAAAACATCAGGTAATGTGAGCTTCCCTCCTTTTAGGAGAGCCATTTTGTCCCCAATTGATCCCTCATAAAACTTCATAACAATGCATATCTACAATGACATGCAAGCATTAGTCTTTCAAGATCGAAGGATTATTGAGAAAACGTATCCTCATTACAATATATATCAAGCATAAAGGCATCACTCACCTTTCCATTCATAACTGAAATTCCATGTAGAAAACACACATTTTCTACACCTTGACACTTGGAAAACAAACCATCAAACTTATCCAACACAAGCCTCATATGTTCCTCCTTAAGAGTTTGCAACATCTTGACAGCCACTTCATGATACTCATCGTAATCTTCAGTGGATTGATGATGAGTAGCCAACCAAACATCACCAAAAGGTCCCCTCCCAATTCTATGTCTAAGCTTCAATTTTGCAGGATCAATCCTGTGAGGTGACTGGTTCGATGAGGCCATCACAGTTCTAAGGTGATCAGGATCCTCATAAAGCTCATACTCGAAAGGAGTCACGGGTTGAGCAGGAACAACTTTGCTGGCCATTCTATCCCCTACAGAAAAAAACATCAGGTTGATTTAAAAAAGAAGACAACTTGACAAAAACCCATCAAAAAAAAATAATTGAACAGCAATAGTATGAACTCAAAACAGTAGTCTCTGATATTCCTACATACAAAACAACTAAATGCAACAAACATCTCATCAAACAATTACCACAAGAAGATTTGGGATCATAAATTATATCTTTGATTACGCAACCAGTAGCTGACTTTATACCAAATTCACAAAATTTATGCTGTCTATGATTGCTAGCAAATTGATCACTAGAAAAATACCTCTTTTTTCTCAGAATCAAAACAGTTTCTTAAGGACCCTTTTGGCTTCTATTAAAGGAAAGGCAAAAAAGTTCTAACCTTTGAATATCCTGCTTTCACCCGTTTACTTTTTGCTTCACCTGACCACCTAAAGAACATGAAAAAAAGCCCGAAACCCAGAATTCATACTTTGACTCTCTCATTAATTCTTAACAGTTTCCAAGCAACCAAGCAAAGTTTCTAGCTTTAACAAAATTACTCCTAAATTTGAAAACATACAAGAAAGAAGAAGAAGAAGAATACTTACTCTTGAGGAACTGATTAAAGAGAGGCCTGAAGAGAATATATAGAAAAGCTTAAAAAAGCCCAAGAAATTTCGACGAATTGATCAAACTGTATTCGAAAAGGGTAAACTTGTTAACAAGAACAACAATAATAATATTGACAATCTAGTAGAGAAAAAGAAAGAAATATCGAAAGTAACAGGGAGAGCACCAGAGAAACAAAATTGCTGTCTGCGAAGAGATGCGAATTATGAGACCAACAACAGACATAAGAGGGACTAGACTCTGTCTATATCCTAGTTGATGTTGTGGAGATATTATTATAGTGGGAGAAGATCCACCGGTAATGCTATCTATTCTGTGTGGGGCCTGGATTTGAGTACTCTTGATTATGATTGGGATATATATTACCACTTTAAAATCACCATTGAGTCCCGCATCTGGGGCAAACACCCCTCCCTCCTTTTTCTTTTAATATATTTTTTAGTTGATTCATCTAAGCTATATGAATTATACGCATATTTTTTTTTATAGCATTGAATTATGATCGAGTTTAAAATAAGTTATTTAATTTAAAGATTTTATTTGGGATTGGTTTCATATTTGAGTAATGGTTTTTCCTTTCAAATAAATAAATAATGCTGAATTCATTCAAAAGTACTTTAAAAGGATTTCCGTGCAGATTTAAGATTATGGTTATAATTTAAAATATTTTTTAATATTAATATATCATAATAATCTAAAAATATAAAAAAATATTATTTTTAATAAAAAATTAAATTTTTTTAAAATGCAGTCTACAAGATGTTGCCAAAAACTCACTTAATCAAATTATTTTGGAATCTGACTTTGCATTGAAGGCTCTTCCATGCTTATCCTCCGACATTAGGTTCTTTTCATCCCATTATTTTCCAGGACATTCTCTCTGTGTTCAAGATGGACGGACTCTTGCAGTTTATTCATATCATTCGAAAAGAAAATCAATGTGCAGATTTCACGGCCAAGCTCGGTTCTTCTCAAAAAGGCAGGGCAGAACTAAGATAATTTTTTAAGGAAAAAAACTAATATCACAAGATATAATTTGTTTTTTAATCTAACATACATAAATATGTATTGTAAACATAAAAACATCATATTATTTAGTTTTGTGCAAAGAAAAACATAGAACAATATAAAATTTACTATAAACAATATAAGTAATGTTAAAACTTATTATAAATATAGAACAATTTTTGTATGGGTTAAGAGGTTAAGAACAATATCAAATTAAATCAAAGTTATAAAATTAATTTTATTTTCATAATAGATCAACCGGTTTAATTTTGTTGGTCTTCGTACCTATCAAATATAAATATATAAAATTTTTAGAAAACATTTGCTAAAATGAAGTATTATTTTTGTTTTAACAAAAAAAAAAATCATCCTCTATTTTATTATGAATCTTGTTTCAATAATTTTCATTGTTGAAAAGGCTCATTTAGTGGTTGTTGTTGAAACAAGAAAAGTCAAAACAAGCCTAATTAATCTATAAATTAATGGATAAATTATTGATTTTTCAATTTTTATCAATCGTTGGCATAAATCAATGATCAATGATAAATTTTTTTAACTCTGGATAATCAGCTACATTATTCTTGTAATACTGTAACTAGAATCTTAACTGTATTTTTTGGTTGTAAAGTTGCGCTTAACATGAAAAGCTCAATTGCTTGCTCATTAAATATATTAATTAACTCTTGTAATTGTTGATCAATAATAATTGTAAAAATATCAACTCGATAATGATATTCAACTATTACTAAATTATTATTTCAGTAAGGTCATCCTACATTAAAAATACAAGTTTTCATATTAAAAACTTCAATATCTTACAAAATAATATCACTTTTTTTAAAAGAATTTTTTAGCTATCATCTTTTAACTTTTAAATCAATGAATGTGGTAGACACCAAATACATAATATTTAAAATATCTTGAGATTTTTATTGCAAGACTTGACAAAAAAAATCAATAATCAAATGATATTAACAACTTAATTGCAAAAACTACATCACCATATTAAAAATAAGCAGATTCTTCTGAAATAATTTTTTTTAAGAATCAAGCAATTTGTTTTGTATATTTTTATCATATTGAAATTTGATTTGAAGTGTAAACTTTACAATATTTTCAGGTCATTACAAACCACCTACTTGATTAGCTAATTTACTCGTTTTAATTTAACTAATAATAATTAAATGTTTAATTTAAGCTGATTTATGAGCTTATAATTCATTATGGTGTTTGAAACACTAATAATATTGATAATAAAAATCAAAGTCTAAAAAAAATATAAAATTAAATACATATGTAGCTAATTATAATTGATAAGAGCAATTAAAATTAACATTTTATTAATAATCAAACAAAATTTTAGATTATTAATATTACGATGATAACAAAGATACGTAAAATTTAAGCGTTATTTATGTTGATTCGAAGTCTCTTAAATGGGTTATTGTGAAGTTCCTTAAGAGTCAAGGCATGGCAGGAGTTGACCACGAGATTATAAGCTCTAACCTTTATTTAATTACTCAAATTAGTTCTAACACAACTTAGGCTATGTTTGTTTCTCAGAAAACAGTTTCTGGGAAACCATTTTCCAAACTTTCCTGTGTTTGTTTGTCATTAGGAAAGTTGGTCAACGGAAAACATTTTCCGGTCAACAAAAAACACTTTCCAGTCAACGGAAAACACTTTCCGGTCAACGGAAAACACTTTCCGGTCAACGGAAAACACTTTCTGGTCAACGAAAATATTTTTTAGTCAAAAAAAAATTTGCTTAATTTTCAGGAAATTGTTTTCCTTTTTGCTGTGTTTGTTTTCCGGAAAGTGGTTTCCGGAAAAACACTTTCCAAATTTTCTTGTGTTTGTTTTGCAGGAAGTGATTTTTGGGAAATCACTTTCCAAACTTTCTTGTGTTTGTTTGCTGTTAGGAAAGTTGATAAAATGAAAACACTTTCCAGTCAAAGGAAAATTTGGCTTGATTTTCAGGAAAGTGTTTTCCTGAAAAATTTGGGAGGAAAACACTTTCCGGAAGTTGTGAAAAGTTTAGAAATGTCATTATTTACTGATTATATCAAATTTGGTCTTCATTCTTTTGATTGTTATTTATTTTGTTTGAAATACTTTATGAAATGTTAATTATTATTATTTTAATTTCTTCATCTTTTTTTTTAGATTTGATCTTTATTATTTTGATTATTATTTATTTTATTTGAGATAATTTATGATTTTTTTTTTCAATTTCATTATTATTCAACTTTTTAATTTGTAAGATTTATTTCTTATTATTTTAATAAACTTGAGAAAAATAAAATATTAATAAATTATTTTCCAGTTTATTTTCCATGACATAACCAAACACTGGAAAGTGTTTTCCAGTTCATTTTCCATAACACTACCAAATATCGGAAAATACTTTACTTTTCAGGAATTCATTTTCCCCAGAATTCACTTTCCCGGAATTCACTTTCCTCGGAATTCACTTTCCAAAAAGAAACAACTTTCCTGCAAACAAACGGGGCCTTAATTAAAATATCAAATGGCGACGCTACGAAGCTGAAATATTTGCAATAGAAATCTAAAATAACAGTCAATGTCCTTATTGCAAGACATTACTGAAAGATGCAATTAAACAAGTTTAAGAAACGTAGCAACAAGGCCATAGACATGTGCAAGCAGCCTCTAACCTTGGTTTTTACAAGTTTAATATTATTATGTTAGATTTTTTTTTTTGAACTTATAAAATTTTTGTTGGTTAGCTAAATAGTTTTTGTTTTTTTGCACAGAATTCGTAAATAATCATGTTTCAAATCTTGGTTTAATAAAAGCTAAAATAACTTGATTTTTATTTATAAAAACTTGTTTTTCATATATTTTTCATGCAAAAATTCATTTAACAACAGTTTTAATTAAATATGTTCTTTTTAAACCTATTTTTTTTAAATAGTATAGAATTAAATTGAATTTATTGATTATAATATAAAATTCCATTAATTTACTCTATGAAAATACTTCTTTTATTTTTTTAAAAGGATTTTTTTGTTTGATGATTTTAAATTTTTTTGTCTACTTTAATCTATTTTATATCAATTTACAATTATTTTTATATGAATATTAATAACTCAATCAAAATACAATTATTTTCAAGAATAAAAACCACAATGACAAAAACACAAGCACAATTGTCATAAGAGTTATTTAGCACAGTGATATATACTATTTTTCAAAATAATTTTTATTTAAAAATATATTAAAATATATTTATTATTTTTTAAAATTTATTTTTAACATCAACGTACTAAAACAATCTAAAAACACATAATTTAACAAAACAATGATTATACCACCACCCCAAACGAACCATTATTCCAACAAGCAGTCCGTGTCCAAATTCCAATCCCCTCGAAGAATGAAAGCAACCCCTCAAGCAGTCCAACTTTTGCTCCGCTTGCTTACCCCTCAATTATTGGCAATGGCAAACTTATTCAAGGAAGCTCTAGTTGTGAACCACAAGTAACCATGACCATCATGGCTAATTCTACACAAGTGTTTAGTCACCGTAGCGGGAGTTCCAAATCCCTCTCTTTTTCGGAGCTTGAATAAGTTTGCTACTTGCAGTTCTCAATCACATGTTTATGAACACTTCCACAACTTGGGTGCATCCACGTAGCTGGCTGACTGCTTTGATTGTTTGGTTTAGATGACAGTGACCCTCGGCTTCAAGTTCTGGATTTCATTGATGACTTTTTAGCATATTCCCATAGGCACAACCACGGTGCCTTGTGCGTGCAACCGGATCCATTCATAGTTCAATTGGCTGCTGATGAAATCCACTTATGATCCAGAGTCGATCTTGGTGGATGCACACTTCTGGATCATTCTCCATCGTCACCGTACAGCTAGGGTGAGTGAAGGGAACAACAACAACAGGAGGAGAATCCAACATGACACGGCCCAGAATCAGCAGCATGGTAAAAAGATGGGAAAAAGATATTCTTCGGGGGCATTACTATTCCATTTCGGATAAAGATAACTGAGTAGATTTTGAGTCCCATTGGTTTTAAGTTGGTGACAAGAAAAGGGCATGAAAGAAACGAAAGCAGATATTATAGACAAATTCACCATACTCTTAGAAGCCCTGTGACACCTGAACTAAAGATCAATATTTCCAAATTACCTTTCATATTTGTTTCAGTTTCACCATTGGCAATCAGCATTTAGCCAAATAAATGTTGGTTTAATGGTGTGAAATT